TGGGTAAGCTCACGGTAGCAAAAAGAGGAGTTGTGAGGCTGGGCAGCATTGTCGAATGGTTGGACAGCGATATGAAAACAAGGGGAGGGCTTGAGGCGTTGCGTTGATGATATCGGATAGCAGGGCAGGAGTAGAACAAAAAAAGGAAAGACCGGTTGGTTGCGACAACGAAGATGGAGGTCTAGGACAACGAAAGCAGCGAAGTATGTAGCTGGGACACCAAGGGGAGACAAAGGGGAAGGGCGGTGGACTATGGGGCAGCAAAGGTCCAAGGATTGTGGCGGTGAGGGGGATGATTAGAAAGGTTGCAGAGGAGTTGCACAAGGATAACTATCTCCGATGAACCAAGTTACAACCAAGACACCACTTGAACCATTGGAGACGCAAACCACCTAGGAAAAGCTATAGTCGGAGCACCTTCTCACCTTCGGATACAGCCTAGAAGGCGAACACCGACAGTTTATGGTTGTCCTGAAAAGAAACATCTGCAAAAACTAGCTTCCAAATCCTAATACAACACATACATACGAAAGGACTAAAAAAGAATGAAAAATACTAAGAAAAAAAGCATAAAAAATGATAATCGGACTATTTCGGCGGCCCTTCTACCGCGATTTTAAATCACATGGTATTGTAGCAACTATAATATTACGAGAACATAGTGTTGCAATGCTCCCATGTCAATCTCTTGAGATTGCGGGAGCTTCGACCTCATCCGTCAAAGCTTTTGTCTGCACTGTTGCAATGCTCCCATGTCAATCTCTTGAGATTGCAGGAGCTTTGACCTCATCCGTCAAAGCTTTTGTGTTGAAAGTAACGGAGTTTTTGTAATCTCCTGGAATTGAGGGGCCTTCGATTGTAGTCCTAGAAGCACCTGGATCCCACTAGCGACTACATTGATCCCCAAAGCCCCTGAGTGGTTTTTCCCACTTGCGAGGAAACACTCATATTGGTCCAACCATATGGGGATATTCTGCTGAACTGAACAGGGATTTCGTGCCAAGTGTATTTTGTTAAATTCTCCAAAAGCAACCAAAATTTGGTACAACCCGATCTGAACTAAGGATAATCTGAGTCTCCTTGAATCGTTTCGAGTAGGGTTGTAAGCTAGCAAACAGGATCTCCAGAAACTCTCTCTGTACGAGTTGATCTATGTATGTTCCCGACTCTTCTCTCTCGCAGCCCTCTATCATCACGATGGTTGATCCTCTCGATGGTTCTCTGTTGGCAAGGACACCTATAATCTCAAACTATGCATAAAGTAGAGGTTGGGCTGTGATTGTAGCCCAAAGATCGTTAGTTGCTCGAAAATTGATTCGAAGTTTGGCTTGGATGGAGATCAGCTTAACATAAACGAGCCGATCTATGAGCCAAAATTTTGGATCGAAATTTTTTCAAGCCAATTTTGAGCCGAGCTGTGGTCGGCTTGAAATTGGATCGTTAACAACCTTAGTGATGTTTGGGCAGTAATTTAGTGAATTTAGCTCAAAGATCGATAATCGCCTGAAAATTTATTCGAATTTTAGCTTGGATAAGATCCGATTGAAATAAACTAGGGCTACAAACCAAAATTTTGGATCAAATTTTTTCAAGCTGATTTAGAGCCAACCTCAGATCGGCTCGAAATCAGATTGTTAACAGCCCTAGGTAGAAGGACTATGTACTTGCCATCTTTGATGAAGGAGCAGGTGTTCTTGTACTCGTCATGCTGAGTTCTACAATCATACAAACACGGTCTCCACAGCAAAAAATGGCAAGCATCCATGGGCACCACATCGCGCCAAGCCTAATCTTGCAGCTGACTTCTAATCAAAAACTCCACGAAACATCACCTGTTAATACTAACCCAGTTCTCCTTCTTCAATCATGTCAAGGAATACAATTGGGGATGTCTCTGAATCGTGATGCTCAACTTGTCCACAATTAATGTTGATGCAATATTCTTGCTACTACCTCCATCGATGATGACGCTGCATACCTTGTCCTTCATAGTACATTGGCTTTAAAAAAGATTATGAAGAAGCCACTACTCTCTCGTGGTATCAATCTAAGGACCCGTCAAACCACGAGTATCTTGCCCTCATTTGGTTAAAGATGATACTCCTTACTCTGTTCTTCAGCTACCTCTTCGTCACTAACTTCCTCTACTGCCTCTTGCTCGGTGAAATCACAACTCGGCTCATCAGGCACTTGGAAGTGATGTTTCTAAAACAATGACATTAGAAGCACTTCCTAGTGGGGGTTGTGTGGGTGTGTTACTCTTCTTAGACCTCTTCTCACTCATAGTGGATATGTCCTGCTTTTGACTAGAATTTCCCACTCCTAGAGGCGTACTTCTCATGAGCTCTCCAATTGTGGGTGATTGTCTGACTGATGGCAGTTAGTAGCTTTGATTATATTGTCTCTCCACTTTCAGAGCTAAGGTCTGCACATCTCTCGGTGCCTAATAAAGTTGTAGTTGGACCACATTACTGATGGAGGGCTTCAGGCCTCCCAAACACCTTGCTATGGTGTGCTCCTCTTGCTCCTTCATCTCGTACTTCAATTTAAGCTGCATAAAGTCTGTTGTGTACTCCTCCATTGATAGCTCTTTTTGTACTAGGTAGTGTAACTCCAAGAAAATATCCCAACGGTAGTGTCGAAGGTAGGTATTATCGATGCATCTCCTGTTTCATCTCCCAAGAAATGATTTTATCTCGTCCTTCTTTGTCTCTCCCTCTTCAAATTCTCCCACCACAGAGAGACGTTCTTCTTAAGCTTGATGGCAGCGAGCTTCACTTCTGTCATCGAGCACCTCCTTATATTCAAAGATCCGCTCAATAGTTTGCATCCACTCGAGAAAATCATCTGGATCCATTCTCAGCTCAAATTCAGGTAGATCCACCTTAATTCAAAGATTTTTGTATCCTCTTATAGGCACGTCATTTTTGTATCTTCCATTAGGCATCTCATCTATATATCTTCCAACAAGCACTTTAGCTTTTGCATATTCCAACAAGCATTGCATTTCTGTGTCTTCCAATAGGCACCTCATCTTGATATCGTCCCACAAGCACCTCATATATCAACCTCCTCTGATATTGTATCCCGAAGCGTCCTGATCGATCTTCCTCTCCATTGAAACCATCCCCTATGAAAGACATTCAAATGTTCTTTTTATTCTCCTTCACGACTTTCACTATTACGCACGACCGTGATCCCGCCCTAGGTTCTTTCCTCAATAGCATTGCGCCAATGTAGCACTTGGAGTAGTCATTGTATGCATCCATAGTAGATTCCTACATTTGTCTCTTTGAGGGCGTGATTAGGATTTCAAGTGTAGGTAGGTAGGTGTGTAGGGTGATGTAGGATGGAAAAGAAAAAAAATTTGGGTGGAGATTTGGATGCTAAAAACCCTAGGATAAGACTAGGGTTAGGCTAGTTTCGATATCAAATGATATTGAAGTAACCCAAATACAATATGGAAAATAAATATTATTACTCAAAGCAAATAGGGTTACATGTAAAGACAATTGGAACTAAAAATAACAAAGACACGACATGACTCAACTAGGGCTTAGGTCAAGGGAGTAAGTGCTGCAGTTTAGGGGAGAAAAGCTAGAATGAAAGTGGGGAAGTGGTCGGAAGCTAGTAAGGGGCGCTGCAGTTGGTTGTTGAATGGCAAGAAGGTGGGTGGCCGCAGGATATGGTGAGGTGGCTGCAACAGAGAAGTGGTGGTAGAGCGTTGAAAGGGTCGGGTAGGCTCCCGACAGCAAGGATGGGAGTTACGGGGTTGAAGAACCGTCGTCGGATGCTGGACAAAGATAGGAGAGCAAGGGAAGGGTTTACGAGCTGCAGGGGTGATGTCGGATGTCGAGACAGAGGTAGAACAGCAAAAGAAAGGAGTGGCGGGCTGTGGCAACAAAGGTGGATGTATAGAACAGTGAAAGTAGAGAAACAAATGGCTGGGGCAGTGAGGGGCAGCGAAGGGAAAGGGCGGTGGACTACAGGACTACAAAGGGGAGGCTCCAGGGACTACAGCAGCAAGGGAGATGGTTGGAAAGGATGCAAAGGAGTTGGGCAAGGATAAATATCCCTACAGGATCAAGCTACAGTCGGAGCACCAATCAAACCCTTGGAAACGATCACCACCTCGGACGAGTTACAACCAGAACACTTTCTTGTCTTCAGATACAGCCCTAGAAGGAGAACACCAACAGCCAACGAATGCCCTGAACAGAAACATATGTCAAAACAGACTTCCAAATCCTAATACAACACATATATAGAAAAGGACCACAAAGGAATGAAATATAATGGGAAAGAAAGCTCAAGAAATGAAAACAAGGCTGTTTTCGTGGCCCATCTCCCGTCTCCCATCTCCCGCGAGTTTGAATCCCGCGGTACCATCTACCTAGAAAACAGTGTGGGAAAGCTCCCGTATCATTAGAGACATTAATTGTTTTATACTCTTCCGAGTGTTGTATCATTTTCTTTTGCAAGTGATGAGTTTGTATCTTTCTTAGGAACAGATTATCGATCATCCTCAACCTACGTACCTCGTTGTTTTGGAGCCTTCCTAATTTGTTATTTTCAGCGGGACAGCGTCCAAATGGCGCTTATCCTTGCCCAAACGCCGTCGAACTCGTCTATTATCTTCCCCTTACTATTCCACAACCACCTCTTTGCAAACTTTGTTTCCCAAATACATTCTAGGAGCCCTAGAACGATATCAATAGGGTTCCAAGACCACAGTAAGTGGCAATGCTCAAAACTAACAGATGACAAAAATGATTATGATGATGCTCCTGGTATGTTTGGAAGGTAAGACTATTATCCAAAACTGCTCTTACTAACAATTCAATGAAATGCGTGTTTGTATGAATAATCACGTCCTAATATGTCAAGGCTATCACGATATAGTGAGTAATTTAGTAATAGTAGGCCACGTTTGACACATTTTGGAATGAAGCTAATAATAAAATAGGTCCGGTGATACTGGGAATTTGGAATAAAATTACCATGCTGAACACATAATTTCCAATAACGAGCAAGCCAACACCGCTTAAGAACCAACTCCTCCTGTCAAAAGCATCAATGACATCAAGGATATTGAAGATGGAATTACAAAAAGATACAAAAGAAATATTCTGTGCACAATAAATAGATACCATCTCTTCTTGATTTAGAATCATTTTCTGTGTCGCTGTTCGTAGGGATTTAATTTCAGATTCTGCATCCAGAAGATGTTCAACTACAGCTATCACTTTTTCCTTTGCACTCTGTTATGAGAAATAGTGTAGTTAATATCGAAGGAGTGATAAAGTATAAAAGCAATAGCAGCCAATTTAAGTAACATTGTAAGATTAGCATTTTCAATGGAAAATTACAAACTTCTGCTTCAATTTGAAGAGCTGCAATCTCTTCATCCCTTGAAACACTTCTTTGAATAGCAGCAGCTTTCAAAGCAGCCTGCAACAAGTTACGTATCAGTATCCTGGGCAGCTTATAAAATTATTTTAACAAAAGATGAGTAATATCTACAGAATAATAAAACCTCCTTAAGAATTTGGTCCGCAAGAAAGGCATGGAAATCAATTTACAATTTAGTCGATGAAAAGAAAGTTAAAAATATAAACATCAATTGAGAAAATGGTCCCAAGATTCTTTGTGGGAAGGCTATTTTAGTCCCAGGCTATTTAAAGCATTCAATTTAGTTTCTTAACTCTCAAATATGATCCAAAATGAACCCACGATTAAAATCATTGTTTATTTTGATGGAAGTTTCAAATCATGGTTTAATTACAAATGAGGCGGGGAATAAAGGTACATTTTTGGAAATTAAGTTTCTCTAACATCATAATTTAAGTGAAATATACTCATCCCCGATCACATGTGTACCTTTCATGTGAAATTTCATCTAATTAACCAATAAATCTATTTTGGATCATATATAAGAAGTCAAGGGAGTTAATAACAGACATCAAGTAATGTAGACTTAAAATGAACCCTCGTAAATAATTTAGCTCCCATTTTGAAAATTTACTCTATAGCAATCACAAACAGGAATACTATAGAAAAGCATGCATGACTTAAAAACAACAAAAGCATAAATTCTGCTAGTAACAAGATAACAAAGATTATAAAAGGGAACTTGCCCTACAAAGGAAAAATTTCCTTACAAATTTAAATGTTTAAAACTGATATAAATTATTCCAAATTCTTAAAAAACTAATGTTTGTAACAAGAAATGCTAAGGTTAATGCCAATAAAATAATAGCATACTAGTATCCACTTTTAACAATAACATCTGATCATTAAAGTAAAAATTAGTTTTCAACAATGGTGGACTAAAGGTCCCCTAGATTAAGAAAAAAAAATACGAAAAATACAATGTATTTGAGCATAAGATGAAACATTTTAATAGTGCAAACAAGTTATGAGTTTCATAAAAATGACATCCATTGAAGTGAGGAATATTTTATACATCCACTGATGTGAGGAATATTTTATAGGTGGATGAAAGAACTTGTATCAATTTTGTGTAATAAAATATCTGATGAATATGCACTTGAGAGCTCTTGCATTAAATTTTTATCCACAATGTTTATGAATATGAACATAAGCAATACATCCAAAAATTTTAAGAGAAATCTTCAAGAAGTTGTTTGTAAAAAAGAGTTTTACCAAATAATTAATTACTTTGGAGGGTGTTCTGTTAAATAAATAGATAGTTGTTAGAACAACTTCTCTTCAATAATCTTTTAATATTTGATTATAGAGAAGAAGTGTCCTAGTCACCTCCAAAGTCAGACAATTTTTCTGTTACTCCATTTTGTTGAGGAGTATTAAGGCCGGAAGATTGATAGATAATATATTCTTTTTTAAACAATGACGCTATTGTGTGATTAAAATAATCATAAGCATAATTAGTCAGAAAACCTTTAATATTTGAGAAATTGATTCTTTATCATGGAAGTAAATATATGGAGTATATGCTAACATTAATTTTTTATTTAACTAAATATGTTTGTCATTCGAGTACGGTCATAAAAAAATTTGAAAACTAGTGGCTCCACAAATATTGAAGATTTTTTAGGGTACCCAAATATCACAGTGAATCAATACAAAAAAATTAGACAATCTAAAGTTACTTTCAAAAACGAAAGTATAATGATATTTAGCAATTTTACAAGTTTTATAATGAAAGAATTTAATATTTGTATTTATGAAAAGAGAACGAAACACACATTAAAAATTATCAAAAAATGAATGTTCTAATCAATAATGTTGTGTCTAAATGGTGTTGGTATAAAGAAATCTAATAATTGATCTTATTTCTCAAGAAAATATATCATCATTTTCTCGTGTTTGCCCAACTGTCTTCCATAATGAGATCCTGAAAAACATAATAATTAGTAAAAATATGACTTTGCAGGTTTGGTCCTTAATAAATTTGTGGATAAATAAAAGATTAATTGCAATGTGTGAAGCATGTAATATGTTATTGACTGTTAAATTGGGAGAAACTAAGACGTAGCCTTATCCCACAACATTTGTTAAAGATTCATCTAAAATTTTTATTTTACTAATGTTGGGATAGGGTTACTAGGAAATATATTTGCAAAAAGTGTCGTGTGATTAGTTAAAGGGGTGTGCATTTTTTTGTTCAAAACCCAGAAACCTAATCGAACAACTTTGGCTGACTCGGTTCGGTCAAAAATATATTTTAATTCTTTTATTTTTAAAACCTCACTATTCAATTTTCGGTTATTGGTTTGAATTTAATTTTCATTTAATCAAATTAATCAAAAAATTGAAAAAATTAAAGTATAAATGGAGGATTCATGAGATTAAATCGATATTATATTATTGATCTTTCATAACTAACCTCAATCTAACTTCTAAATTTTGGTTTGTTCATAATATAGCCCTTTATACCAAATTAAATTTCGAGTCCGTATATTCGATTTTATCAAATATATGATTGCTTCGGATTTTCGAAATTCGGATTTTGGTGCAACCAGTTTGATGAATTTGAAAGCCGAACCATCCAAACCAACCAAATGCTCACCACTAGTCAGTGATTCCTAAATCTTGGATCCAAAAAGGGAAAGAAACATTAGAACTTTGAACACAAGAATTAGAAATCATTTCACTATGAACAAAAGAGAAAGATCCTATTGATTTTTCTAAGGAGTGGAGAAATTCTTTTAATTTGTGATTTTTTTCTGAATCGAGTCCTAGCTCCACTAGACAAGTCTGTCATTTCTATTTTTGCTTTTACTTCATAGCCTTGAGGTTTTCCAAGAAATTTCTAACATTTATCTTTGATGTACCCTTTCTTTTTATAGTAATTGCACCAAATTACTTTAGAAAGAAGATTTTTATCCTTTTTTTCCCTTGCCTTGAGATTAAAAAATTATCATGATAGATATCTCAAGCACCAAATCACTAATCACAACCATCATTCTTTCTTTAGTCCGTACAGGAGAAAATACTTCATTCAGAAAAGATAAACTTTCAGCTTAAGATTTGGATTCAGATTTGGTCAAATTCATTGATGATTTCTACCAGAAACATAAAGATTCTCTCTTGCTCCACAATTTTTTTAAGGAAAACCGCACCATCACAGAACCAGTTCAACTCTAACATAAAAACTTTCATGACGTTGAAATATTCAAAGACCAAAAGATTACCTTGTTTGATATTGATGAGTTTTGCCTTGATTTCATAGATAAGTGCATCATCATTCACCTTTGAGTAAGTTATTTAATTGCATACTAAATCTCTTTTGCGGCGGAGAGGAACATAAAAGGCCCACTGATCTCCTACAGCATGTTATTCCACAACCATATCATGATCATGGAATCATTTTCTTCCCAAAGTAAAAAATTTGGACCTTTGGGCTCCAAAGATAGATCAACAAGATATTGGATATTTTCCTTTCCATTTAGAATGATCATCACGATTTGGAATCATTTAAGATAATTTTTTACATTTCAAGTGATAAGATGCTTAAAATGTTTGGAGCTCACCTTTGTTTTAATTTTCACTATTAATCATAGTCGAGTCTTTTGAAGGAAAGTCAAAGAACCCAAACATAGTGGATAAAGGAGAATTCAGCAAGAGGGAATGTTGAAAGTGAAAACCCTAAACTTAGAGAATAAGAAAAAAAGATTAAAATGAACACCCTAACCTTGCTCGGATATCATGTAAAAAAACGATGACAAAAACTCTTCAGAATCTTATTACTTTCTTTATACAAAAGGGGAGCTATGTATACATGCCCAAAATGCATTATAAAATAGAAACAAATCAAATGAGGGAAAAATATTTGGGTTCGGCGATTCTATAAGAAAATATAAAATGTAAACTGAGAGCCATGATCTATAAGTCTTAAGTTATTTCCTATGAATGGAGTAGCACACGAATTGCAATTCAAGGGTCATACATAAATAGATCCAATAGCATAAAGCCTTGACTTGTGTCTTAAGTTTTATATTATGATTGGAGTAACAAAATTTTAACAAATACTGAGGGCAAAACAAATAGACTCAAATAATTTTGAGCTTAACCAAATCAAATTTGAATGAGATTCTCTCTACAAACCATTTTGTTCAAACTATATTCGAACTTTGTTAAAAACTTACTCTAATTATGCTTTTATCATGTTTGAACCACACTCAAACTTGATTGAACATGCATATTGCTCAAACCTTATGCAAAACTTGCTCTAGCCATACTTTATTCTTATTCAAAACAAACCTGATTTAAGTAAGCTTCAAACATGTTTGAATATAATTTGAATATCGTCCAAACATGTTTGTGCCGCTTAATATGATGTCTACTAATGTTTAAGGTTTATGATTCAAAGTGTGAACAATGTTTTAGCAAAATTTGAAACCTTTATTTTAAGTCTCTATCCCCATTATAACTATAACAATCAGCAATGAATGTACTTATACTTCAATAACAAAAAGAATATCATCACAAGCCTCAAATAGATTACTAAATAAATAATAGTTACAAAGTCGAGTATCGTTACTAAGCTTTAGTGTAGATCATTCACATGAGCTCTAAAATCAAAAAAGACAAAGAATATACTGGGAAGAAAGGCATTCAAGCAACTCCCTGTTTGAAAGTTCACATAAGTTTTTTGTAGAAGGCTATGACTCAATTTAATATCATAGAGGTATTTTAACCAAAATAAATTTTCAAACATATTTTTCCAGATAATGAAACAATATTTGGCTAATTAAGATTATTATGAGTCATCTAAAGTCAAATTTCTCAAAAAAAAAAAAAACATCAATCAAAACAAAAGCTGCAAATAAAAAATCTCAAAAGATGTCATGATTCTGTCTACGAGCTTAGAACTACCAAGGCAAGAACTGTCGGACAGATAAAAGAAACTATCTCAGAGTTTCATTTCATAATTAAAATGAAATCCAAAACACTTAAGAGTCATT